AATCTTAAAAAAACAAAACAAAAAAACAATCTAAGCAAACAAGCAGAACAAGAAGAGAATCATAGATATGGAGATCATTTGGAGGGTTATCCCGGGGATAAGGAAGGGGGACAATGGGGGAAAAGGTGCAGGGATTTAGAAGTACAAATTTGTAGGTACAAAATAGATAGGGCGATGTTAAGAACAGCATAGGGAATGGAGTAGCCATAGAAGTTGAGTGCATGACCCACGAACATGAACTAAGTAGGGGAGGGTTGCTGGAAGGAATGGGGGTACCAGGCAGAGCAGTGCAAAGGGGGAAAAATGGGGACAACTGTAATAGCATAACCGAAAAAAAAATATTTTTAAAAATAGAATTGGAATCTAGGCTCTTCCAAAGAGTCTTCTCCATCCATAGATGCCATTGGAAGGGTGGATGGGATGAAGCAGCCAGGGAAGCTGGGCCTCTCTAGAAGAAGGCCAAGGAGGTCGCTTGGCCTCTCCCCAGGTCTCCCCGCCCCTGGGCCGGCAGGTCAGTGCCCAGCAGTCCTGGAGGAAGCAGCGCACAGAGAAGCAGTAGATCAGCGGGTCCAGGGAGGTGCTGAGGCTCAGCAGCGCCAGGCTGAGGGTATGCAGAACGTCGAGCATGGAGGCAGCACAGCACCCGCCGCCCATAACGCCCTCCTGCCTGGCCACCCAAGGCGCCAGTAGCAGATGGTAGAGGGCAAAGATGAGCTGAAGCCCCAGCACCATGTTCCTGGCCACACACCAGTGCGACTCGGCCCGGCCTGATGGCTCCACCAGCCAGGATCATGTAGGCCATGAGCACCAGCATGAAGAAAGACGCGAATAAGGCCACGGTGGTGCTGACCAGGCCAGCGCGGGCCCAGCCGTGCAGGAGGCAGTGCTCTGCGCCGTCCAATCCCCCGCGCAGCACGAGCAGTGTGGCCAGAGAGAGCGCGGCACCCGCCAGCCAGGCCAGCCAGGCCAGCCAGGCCAGCCAGGCAGGGGCACAAGTACCCAGCAGGGCAGCACAAGCCGGGCGGCCACCCTGGGCCTGAAGCCAGGGCACTGATCGAGCTGCAGCAGTGCACGCTGATGACCATAGCAAAAGCTATGGCCGCATAGGTGGGCAGGTAGTAGGCAGCCCCAGGCGCACAGCAGGTGGTCTCAGGGAAAGGCCAGTGGACCAGTTCCAGGTATTAGGTGAGCTAGAGCCAGGGCCAGCTTGAGCAGGTAGAGATGGAGGGCTTGGCCCAGGCGCCTGCAGCCAAGTATGGGCACTGCCAGGGTGGCCATGCTGGCGGGCAGCCCCAGGGCCCAGCGCCAACGTGTAGACCGTGGCCACCACATGAAGCAGGCAAGGTCATCCCAGAGGCTGCAGCTGCCAACCCCCGGGGCCCCGGCTCTGCTATTCATCTCGGACCTTGGACTAGGAAGAGAAAGAGGTCACTGCAGAGGCTTGCCACCTTCGCCAACCCCAGTCCCCTCTTCCTCAGTCCTAGCTGGGCATGTGAAAGGGGATGAGGACTGAGCTCACCCAGCACCCAGGGAGGATGGAGAGGAAGGGATGGACTCCAGAGTTATTTGAAGTTGAGTGGGATTGTTGACAAGCTGTGGGAAGTGAGGAAGAGGCAGAAGTCCCAGACAGCTTGGAAATTTCCAACGTGGTGCCTGAGAGGGTGGAGATGCCCCTCACAGAGGGAGAGTGGTTCAGATATGCGGGGGCACAGGCATGTGCCGTCAGCCTGAGCAAGCCTGAGCCACCTGCAGGTTCTGTAGAGAACACTTCCCACAAAGAGCCCAAGCCATCCAGATCAGTGGAGGACCAGACTTACGATGCACTGATCCAGACGGCAGACCTATGTATAGTGACCTTGGACTTGTCTTGGTAAAGGTCCTCCCCTGGGGCTTGCCTGGAGTACCTTGGACAGAGCTGAAAAGGTCTCACAACTCTCAGGCATTCCAGCCTATGTGCTCCCCGCTTGCCTTTTGACCACAAAGAAGTCCTGGATCTGACTCAAAACACTGGACAGCAACGCAAAAAGAACACAGGCCTTCTGTACAGAGGATGTGTTGTAGAATTGTGCACATGAAATCTGTATAATTTTGTTAACCAGTGGTGCCCCAATAAATTCAATTTAAAAAATAAATAATTAAATAACCAAAGCCAAAAATTAAAAAAGAACACAGGCCCCAGAATCAAGCAGATTCTAGATACACACATTTTCTTGCCATGTGACCTTGGGCAAATTACTCAGCTTCACTGAACCTGTTTTCTCAGCTGTAAAATGGCGATTAAAATACCCACCTCAGTGTTTTTGGGAGGATTATGAGGAAACATAAGTAAAACTCTGAGCACTGTGGCTGACAGTGGGGGGGTACTTCATAACCATTAGCTCCCTTCCCCTCCAGGCAGCACACAGATAACTGTGCACACCCACACAGGCACACGCACGGCGTTAGAGACACCGACACCCTGAGCAAGAAAACAACACAAAGACATCTGAGCGTATTCCTCTTCTCCCCCCAAGGCAGGTGAGTGCACAAGCCAATGTCCTGTTCTTCCTTTGGACACATAGACAAACTCCGAGGGGGCCCCAAAACTCGGTTCCTCCAATACCAAAATTTGTATCGCAGTACTTTTGCCTTTGAACCGCTCAGGCTCCAATCCCTCATGGAACCCTGAGTGAATGTATTCCTTTCTGGCTCACTCTCTCAGCCGGGTCCACCCTGTCTCTAGTCGCCAGTTTCCCACCCCGAAGCCCCCTTGTCATCCCACCAGATCAGTCCTCTCTAACCCCTTGCTGTTCTGGCTGCTGCAGCCCTCTCTGGAGCCCTGGGGCCTGGCTTTAAGGAGCTGAGATAAAACAGAATCCACTCCCACCCACACATTCCACACCCTCCCATCAACAGATTAATCCCAGGACAGGACATGAAGTTTGGGCCCAGCAGCTGAGGGGGCTGGGGCCCACCCATGGCAGCTGTGAGCTGCGTTTGTGGGGTGCAGCCAGGACCCCAAGGGAAGGGAGTGTCATTGCAGGGCAAGAGGGAGGGGCGGGGGACGGAGATGGAAAAGTATAAGGCAGCCTTGGCAGCTCAATGCCATTGTGCTTATCTGCCTTAGGTTTCAGCTGCAGTTTGGGGGGCACATTTCCTAGGGCCTGGCTTCTCCTTGGGCGGAGGAGTTACTGTGGGAGCTCAAGATACGCCTGCTGCTGTCACTCCCAGCTGCTCCTCCACACTAGCTGGCCGCCCACTCTCCTAGCTCCCTGCCTTTCCGCAGCTGCTGGGTGGGCCCTATAGCCAGGCTTGGGGGGGTGGGTATGTAGCAAATAACCAGCTCACAAACCAAGACTTAGTAAACAGGACCCTCAATCTAATGCCAGCTGTGAGAGGTTTTACTCAGAGTCCTGGCTGGAGACAGCCCCGTGGTGGCATCCTAGAAGAGGTGGAGATGGGAAGAGGCTGGGATGCTAGGGGTTCCAGGCTCTGCTTCCATGGACTTCAAGATGTCCATGCAGAGGAGCAATTCTGGAAAGCAAGGCAGACTGAATCACATTGGACGGGTCATCCCAGTACCATCGAATTGAAGAGAGCAGAGGTGCCATGCCTGCCCACGTCCGACTTTGGCAGCTGGAGCAGTGGAAAGTGCATTCTGGAGTCAATCAGGCATTAATTCTAGTCTCAGGCCTGACACATAGGCACTTAAGCTTCCTGAGTCCATTTCCTCATCTGTAGAACAGACCACTATTTAATAATAGCATTTACTGAACACTTATTATGTACCAGGCACCGCTGTAAGCCCTTTACCCTGCTAAATTCTCGCAGCAACTCTAAGAAGTATTGCCCATTACTATTGTGCACAGAAGCTAGTAAGTGGCAGAAACCGTTTTCTAGCCCCCTCCCTTGCTGACCAGTGTGGGTTGCCTAGTTGACGTCCATTATGGTAATTCCATTTTCCTTGCTAGTGATCGGTCTAGGAATGGAAATGTGACAACCCTGACCAGTGAGATGTGAGGGGAAATCTAGGGGTCTTCCTGGAGAGCTTTCCTCCTCTTTTTTATCACCTGGGGTGTTAGGTGGTCCTGAAGGCAGTAGCCAATAGAGTGAAAGCAGCAAAGTTGAAAAAAACCTCAATCAGTAATGTCATCACAAGGGGGCCAAATGACCCAAGACTGAGCCAGAAGCTATGTTATCTCTGGACCTCTTATGTGAGTGAACGCTTCCATATTGTTTTGACACTCTATATATGCAGTATGCCTGCACTACTACATATCGATGTACTCATGGACGTGTGTGTGTGTGTGTGTGTGTGAAGAGGGTTGGTACTGTGTTCCATTGAGAATTGCCACACACAGACCTCCTCCTGACTCGCTAGGGCCTCTGGGACTCATCCCCGGCTTCCAGGAGCGCTTTACCTGGCAGCGTCCCGAGGAGCCGTCTGTCCCCTGCCTCCATGTAGGTGTCCGAGGAGCACTGCACTGCGTGCCCCACCTCGCCACCAGTCTGGCCGTGTAAAGTCCTATAAAATGATGACTCAATGCCCATCATTGTTACCTTTGAAAATCTAAAAGGCCCAAGATAAAAAGAAACAAGACGGAATAGTTCCTGTGGCTTGGCTCGGGAGGGCACAGGCTGAAGCAGTTACACTCTGCCACATTCAATGTGTAAGTAATAAAACCCTAAAAACATGCACACCTTTTGAACCAGCACTGTCACTTCTAGGAAAGAAAAATAAGTATGCAAAGGTGATTTACTGTGAGGTTTATAACAGTAAAAAAATAAAAGGAACAATCCAAATGTTCCTCAGTGGGGGCTTCAGTAAGTCCTTTACAGTACCTCCTTACAATGGAATACTACACAGCCATTAACATGAACAAGGTAAAACACGCATGGAATGCTGTTACAGTATATTAGCTTTAAAAAACGGATAAAAATTTATTTTTAAAATGTAAATAAAAAATTTCATTTTCAAAAATCCATATAAAGGTATAGAAAAAAGTTAAAAGGTACAGCTATACAAAGGAATTGATAAGAGGAATGCTAGTTATTGCCAAAGAGCAGTAGATGTCCAAGAAAGAAAGCAGAGCCAGGTAGTCAAGATGTCTGTTTTGACACTGGCCATATTTTGACCCTGGACATACTGTATTGGTTGCAAGGTGGTAGATTCTGTGTCCTTCCATGTTCTTGCCATGATAGTGGCATGGCTCAGAGAGGCAAGAGACACTCTACTCTCAGGATTTTGTGACTGTGCTTGGAGACTTTTTCCCAGTGGGTGTGACCACCTTCTGAGTTCTGACTGCGTACTGGCAGATATCCAGCATCAGCAGAAGCACCAGGCAGACGACAGCCGGGACGCAGGTGATCAGTGATTCTTCTAGAGACACCAAGGTGAAGATAGCCCCTGGAATGGAAAGTCAGGTCTCTGAGGTTCCCTGGGGGCACCCAGGAGATGGCAGGAGCTCAGGGGCCTCCAGACTAGGCTGGCCCACTCCAGCTCAAGTCTTCCCACGAAGCTCCCCCACATATACCCCCGACCTAGCTGCCCTTGTCTCCCTGGCCTCCCGGAGAAAGCAGGGCCAGACGTCAGAAGCTTTTTGAACAATGTAACCCCTCTGAGAAGGCAAGGAAAAAAAACAGGTACAATATGACCTAATAGGGCAGGTAGGGGACTAGGCAGGCATTTTGGAACAAATTCTCCCTGCTCCAACACCTTTCTTAATCCTGCTGGAGGAAGGGAGGACCAGGGGTTGGTGGTGGAAGAGAAAGAAAGATCTGAAAGTGAGAGAAGCTCCAGAGATGGAAAGCAAGGCTGGGGGAGAGGAGATAGTGGTGGCAGCAATGGTGACACAAGGCCAGGGATCCAGAAGTGCCCCAACATGACAGGCCTTTGAATCAGCAGCTATCTGTACATCAGCAGTTCCTGTGGGCAGAGCTGCTATGAGGGGGGCCCTCCAGGACTTCTTGCCTCAGGGAAACTCTCTGCCTCTCAGTTCAGGGGGCTCAGCTTCCTTGTGCCCAACTGCTAGACACATAAGTTAAGTGGCAGCTGCTACTCTGTCCTCTCATCTTAGGGGTGGGACGAGGTGAGAGCAATAGGAGCTTTTAGGTTACAATACATCCTTATGATCCAATACCACACAGCCAACAGAACTGATGAGGTAGAAGGTATATTGACATAAAACAGTGTTACAGTACATGAGGTCTGAAAAGCACCCATCCTAGTCTGAAGACCATGGAAACTGCAGTGCAGCAGGAAGTGCTCCTGGTTCCCGAGAAAAAGGGAGAGTGGCAACAGTAAAGGGGAACAGAGGAACAGCCAGGCCTTCCCATCATCCTCCCCAAGACTTAGTCCCCCTCTCCCCTGCCCAGATGGACACCCCCCCTTACCCATCATGAGCACGATCAAAAGAAAGTTACTGATCTCTTGCAGCTTCGGTGGGCCCAGGGCCAGCAGCAACCCAGCCAGCAGTTCCAGCCAGCCCACAGCCACTTGGTAGCTCATGGGATCTGGCTGATAGCCGAACACCTTCAACGGGAACACCTCAGCAAACTGCTCGAACAGGGCTTTCTAGGGGTAGCAGGGAACACCTGTCAGCCACTCACCAAGGATCCACTCACTGCCCAGGTGCTCCAGAGGGGCATTTGGTGCCTACATCAACTTCCCCAACAAAGGAGCTACGACTCCAGGCTCAGGTCAGCCTGGAAAGGTGAGAGCTTCCCTCCGGGGCTCAGCTTTGGAATCAGTTAGCAGGCTTCATGCTCCAAGGAGAAGGGCTGGGTGGTCATGCAGAGATGGACTGATTTTCTCATTGGACTCTAACCAGTCCCAAATGCCAGTTAGAGGAAGCAAGGCTTGGGCCTTCTCATCTAGAGGCAAGGCCTTGGGAATCCACAGTTTGTCTTTCTGCCTGGCCTGGTTTCTCTCAGGTACTATGCAGGGTATATTTGGAGTTGGGAGAGGGGATGAAAGGGCACGCTGTTGCTCATTAAACAGGTTCTTTATACATCATATGCTGGAGCCTGGATCCTACTGTAGTAGACACAGGGGAGCTGAGGGGGCCCAAGGTGATTCATCTTGCAGAGTCAGGCTTGATCCTGGGACACAACTTCATCACTCAGGCTGGCTACCTTTTCCTGCTCCCCACTTCAGTACTACCTCCCCTACTGAGCAATGCAAGGAAGCTCTAAGCTGTCCGGCTCTGGGGATGAACTTGCCCAAACCCACCACCTTATGCCAGGACAGATGGGGCGCATCAGGGCCTGGGAGAGGGAGCTAGCAGGGGCCTCCAAGTCTGGCTTGTTTGAGAGGCTTGTTTGGTGGGCATAAGAACAAGAAAGCTTTCCCCAGAGGCTAGAACTAGACCCACGGCCTAAGGGCAACTTCTAGGCCTCCCCCCTTAGGCTCCATCCTCCAGAAAAGGGCTCTCAGGTTTATAAAATAGTAGAGTGTCTAGTTTGGGTCCTACTTCCTGCCTAGCTGTGTAACCCCTCCACCCTTAGGGTGGGTTTCCTGCCCTGCCAAGCGGGGATTAATAAAGCCCTGCCTCATGAGGCTCCAAAGAACTCCAGCAAAGGAGGGAAAGGGGCAGGGAAGGAGCCGTGTCCCTTTGCCATTCCGTATTTCTCCGCCAGGGTCCTTCTACGGCTCTAGCTTTGCCTAGGCCACCAATGTTCAGCTGGAAGGACATGTGCCCGATCCCTTCCGTCTATGGAAGAGCCACAGAACTGAAGAGAAACAACCCAGGAAGGTGTCAACGTCGAAGTCAAGGTCCAGCGCTCTTGCCCCAGCTCTAGCGCCAACTCGTCCGAAGGCAGGAGGGTCAGCCGGGCACAGGAGCAGGCAGACGGGGACGGGGCACCGGGCGCCCGGGTAACGGCGGGGTAACTGCTGGTGCCCATCCGCCCGCTACCCACGCCACGCTGCTCACCATCTGCTGCGACGCGGGAGCTGCGATCTGCTCCGAGAGCTTGGCCGCCCCCGTGAGCGCGAAGAAGCCGCCCAGCAGGACGCGCAGCACGCCGAGCAAAGGCGCCATGGCCGCACAGGCCCTTTGAGAGGGCGGGCTCACTCGCCCCGGGTCCGGCCCGCGAAAACCCGCCCCTGCCTCCTATTCACTTCCTCCCGTCTCTAGGCTCCCGGAGGACGCTAGCTAGGGCCTCCCTTTTCTCGTCGATCAGGGATGTTACCACCCTCTCTTTTATCCCAGTACCGGTTGCTGGGGTGGCTGGGGGGATGGGAGGGGCATTTGCCGCCCAAGGGAACACTGGGGCCCACTCGGCTCTTAACCGACTAAATGGGCCCCATTAAATTCAGGGAATCTCCCAGGCAATAAGGCAGGGCGGAGTCAAAACTGGGTATCTGGACGTGGCTTGCAGCTCTCCCTTAACATCAAAGGGCCAGGGTTTCTTCATTCCTGCCTGTGCCACCCTAGCTCTGACATCTGAGCTGTCACTCAGCGGACTCAGTGTCTGCTTCTGTAAATGGGGATAACGCTGCCATCAGCCTTCTGGGTCAGTAACAGGCCTTAGCACAATGCCGGGCACATGTATGAGCTCAAAAAGTTATTTGCAAATTAGATTAAATTATTAATAAATCAATAACGAGTCATAAAATAAATTGCTCTTTTTACTTTGCCTGAAACCTGTTTTCCCTCTAATCTGAAATTAAAATATAAAAGGTGTTTGAAAATTCAGATACTTGTGATATAGTAGGCAGTTACACAGGCATAAGCAAGAGCAGGACTGATAGGCCAGGTATGATCCAGGGCTGGGGCTCCGGGTGCCTAGCAATGAGCAAAACTGGGACCGCAAGTATTGTAGGGTGGGACCCTGCCCCCAAAGTGACACTTCCTCCTCTAGTATATCTCTGTGCATGTGGTTTAGACCCCTTGACCTTCAGTTTGGACCTGCCCCTGACCTTTCCTCCCCTGATATAGCCAATCATGTGGTACACTCCCCTAGGGAAGGAACAGGGGTCTGGACAGTAGCCTCGTTGGACTCCCTTGCATTACCACTCCCTTCAATAAGCCCTCAGGACAATGAGGTTCTGGCTCACATCAGATAAGCTTAGCAACAAAGCCTCGGGTCTGTTGACCACAGAGACAGTATTTGGGTCAAACGACATAACATCTAGGCCTCAGTTGTGTTTCAGCAGCAGGACCAGAAAAGTAGCAAGGCCAGGTAGGACAACACAATGCATGACAGCAGGACCAGCTGCCACGACTAATGATCCCCCCTGCCTTGGTGCAGACCCATCAGTGGAGACACTCTGGGAAAGCTGATGAATAGCCTGTTGAGATCCTCCCCTGAGACCTCCAGATAAAAGCCCTTAAGGCAAAGGACCCAGCAAGCAGGTTCTCCCTCTCTCTTCTCCCTTTGTTCCCTCTTCTCTCTCTCTAGAATGCCCTCACCTTTCCCCCAGGGACATTTTCTTTGCCTTTCTTTGTCCTAAGCTCCAAGAGTCCTTCTTTTGCCTCTGTAATTTGCTTCCCGAGTCCACACAGACCAGCTGGCTCACTTCTTCTACCCTCTTTCTAAATAAATTTTTGTCTTTGAGTTCCTTGGCTCTGAATTCTTTTCTTAGCCAAACTAAAAGACGAAGGTCTAACATCTGGTGCTATCCCCGTTAACACTTGCAGCTGTGGGAAGAGAGGCTATCACAGAACAAAACCCTAACAGCCACTCCTGGCCCACTTGATCTTACTTGGAAATCTGTCTAGACCTAGATGGGCAAACTGGGCCAAATTTGGTCAACTGTCTTGGGGTTTTTTTGACTCCCTTCCCTTCCCACAGCTAACAATATTTGTTTGTTTACATTTTTAATGATAAAAATTTTAAAGGCAGCTTTCAGGACATAGGAAAATTGTATGAATACATATTTCAATGTTCACAAGGAAAAAGTTTTATTGAAACACAGCCACACTCATTTGTCTGTGTATTGTCTACAGTTGTTTTTGTGCTGCAGCTGCAGAACTGCGTACTGTAGTTACCACCTATGGCCTGCAAAGCCTAAAATACTCACTATAAACCACAGAACTGAGTACTGTAGTTGCCACCTATGGCCTGCAAAGCCTGAAATATTCACTATCTAGCCCTTTCTAAAAAAGGTTGCAAAACACTGTTCTAGTGGGCCAGAGAGGTGCCCTACAGGGGTCTCAGAATCTCAGGCTGCTTTCACTCCCTGTTAGCCAAGCTGCTTAAATCTTTTTTTTCTACCTACCCACAACCAGCTGCATAGTAGGAGGCAGGCTGGCTGAAGACTAACATGTCCCAGGTGCTTTTAAAGGACAAGCGGTTTCAACAACCAGGTGTGCTATTTATTACATTAGAAATTGGGCCTTTCATTAACTATATCTGTGTCACTAATCCTAATTATTCAATCAATCAATGAAACAGCTAAATTCTCTATGGTTGTCTCTTAAAATTAATACAATTATGTATAAATGTTCAATGATTAAATTCCTCAACAAAAAGAGAAAAATTATTAAAGCATTTAATCACCAAAAACACATATCCACATTAAGAAATTATATTTTAGGATACTTATACAAAATTTAACATGATTATAGGCTCTGATAAGCAATATGCATTTACTATTCTTTCTCCTTTACTAGTTTTTCTATCCTTGGAATTAAAGATGTGACCGCAAGTCTTAAAGCAGGGCCAGAAACCAACAGATTTCTTTGTTTTGACTCAGTCAAAGCTGAAAATGTAGCATCACATAAATAAACAGTTGAAAAAGGCAATAAAAATGCCATTGCTCTTTCATGGAGTTCTGGGTAACTTGTCTTTGCTTTTATCCAAAACTGAGCTACAGACATTGATTTAAATACTGATTGTAATCCTAAATCTGAAGATAACTGTGCTAGTTTTTCTTCTTCAAAGTCCTTGAGATTACTAGTCTGGTGATTCATAAAAGGATTAATTATCCACAAATTTCCTGAACGCAAGTCTTCTTCTGGTGGATAACAGTCATTGAACATTTGAGAAAGTCCTTCCAGGTGCTCAAAAACAATGCTTGCAATGCTTCTCGTATTTAAGCTTGATGAGTTTGAGAATTCGGATAATGAAGGGAACATATCATAATCATTCTCTTGTGTGCGCTTCAACCACATTTTTAACTTTCCCTTAAATACGTCCATTTTATTATACAAATTGAAGAGTGTAGTCATAGTTCCTTGGAGACTTAAATTTAGTTCATTTATAAGTGAAAAAATATCTGATAAATAGGCCAGCCTGGCAACCCATTCCTCATCAAGAAAATAATTGGCCAAATCTGAATGCTTTTGATTTAAAAAGATTTCAATTTCATGTCGTAATTCAAATAATCTTGTTAAAATTCTCCCTCTTGATATCCATCGTACTTCAGCATGAAGTGGTAAATTTACATGCTCAGACCCCATCTCTTCACACAAAATTGCTAACATACGTGAATTCGGTGCATTGGTCTTTATAAAACTTAAAATTTGTGCTGACTGCAAAAGAATTTCATGTAAGCATGGAGACAAATTTTCTGCTGCTAAATGTTCACGGTGAATAAAACAATGTGTAAATGCCACTGTATTCATAGCAACTTCTTGAATTTTTGCCCTTAAACCACAATATCTGCCAGTCATGCTTGCAGCCCCATCTGTACAGAGACCTACACAGTGTTTCCAATTCAGAGATTTACTATCAATATATTTATTTATTAGTTCAAATATTTCAAAACCAGTTATTTGAGAAGGTATTTCAAAAGAACATAATAATTCTTCTTTTATGTCACTACAATCATTATCAATGAAACGAATATAGCACAAAAGAAGGGTGATATTTGAGATTTCTGAAGACTCATCTATCTGAAGGGCAAACCACTTTGACTCTCTGACTTTTTGAATCAGCTGATCTTCAATGTCTGCAGACAGTTCATCAATCCTATGTCCAATCGTATTATTAGAAAGAGGAATGGTTCTCATTTTGTCTCCTGCACTTGAACCCAAAACTTCTGAACACATTTCTACTAAATATGGTTTAATTAACTCTTCAGCACTGGAGAATGGCTTCTTGCTGGCAGCAATTTGGAAAGCAATTAAATAAGAAGCTTTCACAAGTGACTTTTCAACTAGTAAACACTTTTTAAAAGAACTGTTTTGACATTCCATTTCAAGAGATTTTTGTTCAAAAAAATCTACTGGTTTGTTTTCTAATTCTGAATGTTTTGTCTTTAAATGATGAGAAAGATTTGCTAGTTTCATGTTTTCAGCAGATAAGATTTCTCCACAAATGACACATTGTGGCCTTGGTGAACTTTCTTTTGATCCTGGATAGATAATAAAACCAACTTTTAAGTATTCCACATCATAAGTCTGGAAAAAACCTGTTTTTCTTTTCTTTGCAGGTGGAGAATCAAGTTCCACATCACTTTTCCCATTAGGCACAGGTAAATCTGAATGAAATGTTTGAATCTCTGTTATTTTCAAAAATAAATTGTTATTTTTTCCCCCACACATTTAAAATTTATACTTTACTATTTATCAAAGGAATACGCTATAGTTTAAACACAAATATAATACTTTCATGATGCCAATGAAAACAGAACTTCTCCTTTGTCCAAAGCTTGGTCACTGACTGAAGTAAAACTGTAAGATGTGGTACATGATCTAGCAATACAATATATTAAATAGATTACTGGAATTAGGGCGAATTGCCCTGGCCAGGTGGTTCAGTTGGAGCATTGTCCCAAACACAAAAGGTTGCAGGTTTGATTCCTGGTCAAGGCACATACCTAGGTTCTTGGTTTGATCGCCAGGGGGTTAGGGGTGTGTATGGGTCCCAATAAATGTCTCTCTCTCTCTCTCTCTCACTCTCTCTCTCTCCCCCCCTTCCTCTCTCTCTAAAATCAATAGACATGTCCTCAGATGAGGATTAAAAAAAAAAAAAAAAAAGGAATTACTTTTTAAAAGTTTAGGAAAAAAGAGAAAACAAATGTTCCAAAAAGTTAACATTAGGTGAATCTAGATGAAGGGTATATATTGGTGTTCATTGTGCTATATTTTCA